TAAGCCAGAAAGAGAAAGAAAAATACCAGATGGTTTCACTCATAGCAGGAGTATAATGGACCAGGCGAGAAAATAACAAGAATAATGAACAACCATATACCAGAGACATTTTGTGGGGGTGGAGTGGGGAATGGGACCAAAAACGGGGGGTGGGGAGGAAAGTGCACGGGATTATGGTGATGGTACACGGGTGACTTGGTGATGGGAAAGCGGGGATTACAATTAAGATGGGAAAAAAATGTACAAAATGATGTAAAAATAAACTTATAAAAAAAATTTCACCATTTAAAAAAAAAAGATGAAACTTTAAAGTATTACTAGTAGAAAGTATCCAGTAGATTGAAAAAAACCCTTAAGGTGTTTTTTTTTTTTTTTTTAACTTTAAGCATCATGTCAAACTTTATTTAAAAAACTTTTCTTGTACCGTTGGTTTACATCCTGGTGTTCTGGAAGTATGGAACTGCCCCATCGGGTTGCCACTGTTTTATGGTAGCATTATCCAATAAAACTTTCTATGATGATGGAAATGTTCTATATTTGCAATTCCCCATATGGTAACCAGTAGCTTTATGTAGCTATTAAGCCCTTGCAATATAGCTAGTATGAGTGAAGAGTGGAATTTTAAATTCAAATTTAATAAATAAATCTTTAAAAAATATAAAATTTAATAGCTACACCAGGTTAACGACTATCACAATGGGTAACAGAGGTTTACAGTAAGGCTTTAACAAAGTACAAAACAGCTTTTGCGGTTTTCTAGACCTAGAAATCAGCCTCTTGCTATTGTTTGGAAAATTGTCACAGATGACTGGTCAATCAAACAATGCTCTCTTCTCTACTCCTTTCCCTTCCCCCAGGCCAGTGGTTTTACTACACCTACATGTTGGCAAAAACATTAATAAAGTTCTTACCAGAGCATACATTCTTCTAAAATGTTACTGCTGATAAATGAAATACATTGGGCAAAATATCTTTTAATTGTTTAGATCATTTGTTCAGTCAACATTTGGAAAGCAAAGTTATTTGAATAGAAAGTAATGATTTTTCTCTTAGCTGATAATTGAGAAAACACTCTAACTTTGCTTACCTGTTTTCTATCTTCCTTCCAAACAACTGTCAGTGTGAGTTGCCTAAATTAAAATCTCATTCTAATACTTCAAACTTACAAACAATTCATGGCTTCTAAGTGCCTAAAGAATAAAAACTAAGCTCTTCACTGAGACACACACACAGAGCCTTCAAGGATCTGACCTCTGCCTGTCTCTACATCTCATCACTCACTGCCTTTGCTTTTCACCTCAGCAATATCTAATTGCTGTACTTACTGGCAGATAACCAGTTTCTCCTGTGCCTTTGCTCATATCATATTCTTGGCCTAGAAAGCTTGAACAGCTCTCACTCCCCCAAATTTACCTGGTTAACTTGAATTTCCCTTTTCAAAACCGTTCAGACTTATCAGTGAGAAAAAAAAGCAGCCCTTGGTGCTGTCGCCTGAACTGGCCTGTTTCTAATAGCTAGTCCATGGTATTCTTCCACTGAACTTGAACAAGGTCACTCTATAAACATGATGAGAAGAGAGAAAAATAAGGCCACTCCATAGTCATGTCTGAGTACAGACAAAACCAAGAATGCTACAGACTACAAAAAGAAGCAAGCATCTTTTTCTCCCAGCTAGTATGAGTGACCTCTGTTTACCAATTCTAACTTTAGCTTACCCTTCCAGATAAAAATGAAGATAATCACAGAATTGCTACTGCTTTCTGACAGCACCAATTTCAGAGCAAAACATTGATTCTTTAAACCCTCTCTAAAGTCTTAATACAAGTCTAAGCTAACAAGCTCCTCTCTCAACTTTATCAGAGGCCCAAGAGTTCTACACAGTACATTTTCTCTCATTGTAATAAGCTAAAATACCCAACTTTCCTAAACAACACATGCTCCTGAAGGACTCTGGTTAGAAGGCATCATCATCTAGAGTACAATAAATTTGTAAAAAAAAGTTTGAAGAATGAATTCAGTACAGCAGATGGCATGACTTTAAGGTGAAGTTTCATGTAACATATTAACTTAGGGTGTTTTCAGCTATGTCATCACCTGGTTTAAGAGTGTAATTTGGGAATCTGGAAACCTAATCCTCCAAACTTCTCTTGTTTCTGCATATTCCATTTTCTGAAGCATACAGAAAAAGAGACTAACCTTAGGTGTTGATAATGGGCAGATTTAGATACCTAGAAAGGTAGAAAAAGCTTTAAAAAAATAAAAATTTTCCATAAAAATAATAATAAAAATGAAGTACCGTATTGGAGGAATCATGATGTTTATCATTACTGTAAGAAAATGAGACAAAACATGCCAAGTTTTATGTAGCAAGACTGTTTCTGAGGTACCAAATTATTTTTATATATCCTTTAAAGGTGAAAAGTGGGTGGGTGACTCATTTGATAAACATCATGGAGAAAATTAAGCTCTCAAAGCAACTTTATTATAGTGCTGACTTCTTTTAAGGTTTATTTGCTTGTTTGTTTTGTAAAGATTTATTCATGAATACAAGAACTGCGGTACAGGCCAGAGGTGTGGGAGTGAAAGGTTACCAAAATTTGGCAAAGTCTACAAGATGCCATATTTCTTAAAGCTCATAATCTTATAGGGGGATATTTGTAGCAAAATTTAAAGATTCAAAAAGAGGTGAGAATGACTACCTGGTTTTACTATATGTAAAAAGTGAAAGCTTTAGATGAAATATTTTACATTCTTAAACTAATAAAGTGATGATGAAACAAATAAGAATATTAAAGAAAAGACTGCATATATTTAAATTTTCAACAATATTTTAATGTTTTTTTAGTTGTCCCCAAAAGACAAATATTTTATTTTTATGGTTTGAATATTGAATTATGACAGATTTTTACTTCTGACCTGTAATTGTGCTTAATTAGGTGATAAAAAACTATCTTTAATAAGGTATATTTTTTCCCTAAAGATTTACTACAGAGGAGCATGCAGATATATATCTTAGTTTATTATATATATCATAATAAATGTGCTGTCCTCCTAATTAAATTTAATTTAAAATATTAAAACATTCTAGTTCTCAACACTTAGAATGTAACTATAAAATTCCTCTCACAATGCATTTTCTACAAATTAAGAAGAAGAAACCTAAGACTCACTTGATAATCATACTTAGAAAGTTTATAATGAACTAAAAATCTAAATACAATTTTTAATAGATTTATTCTAGGTAGTATTGAACTTTTTTAGGCAAAACAAACCAATATTAAGCATTTATTTCATTTGCTCTACTTTGCCTAAAGCACACACAATAGAAATACCAACTTAAAAATTGGTTTCAATTCTGAGGAAAAGATTCTAAATTATATTTAAAATGTGCCATAGCCCATACCTGGTTTCTTAATGATGATAGAATATATTCCTTTTCAGACTGAGAGATTGTCTTGTGAGTTTCTGGTGCATCACTAACTAAGCAGAACCATAAAATAAACCAAATGATTCCAATGATACCTTAAAAACAACATTTAAAATAAAATTAGAACACATTAACAGCAATTTTCACATGTCTGGAAAGAAAATTATGTAACTATAAAATCAATGTAAAATTGGCTTTAGTACTATCAAGTTGTTAAAAGAAGATGAGTCCTGCTACTGGCGATAATAATGGATGCACATAAAGGGTATTATGCTTAGTGAAATAAGTCAGGAGAAAAAAAGCACTATTTTACTCATGCATTGTACCTAAAGAAACAAAACAAATGAATGAGCTAAATAAAACAAACTTTTAACTATAGGAACAAAAGAGTGGTTCCAGAAGGGAAGATGAGGAGGTAAAGGGGCTGACTTTATGGTGATAGGTAGAAACTAGAATTCTTGTGGTAAACATAGGCAGTAATACAGATAATGATTTATAAGGTTGTACATCTGAAACGTGTATAATGTTATGAATCAATATTACTTCAGTTAAAAAAAGTTGGTTTCAGTTTAGTTTTAGTTTTGTTATTCTCAAAATTCATTGAAGGGAAAATGCTATCTGTATTATTTCTTATACATCTTACCTTTTTCAAAAATTGGGTAAATTTGACATGCAACATTATATAAATTTAGGGAGTATTTAACTTTGATGCATTTATATTTTGCAGTGTGGTTACTGTTGTTTTCAACTTATTATAGGGCATAATTATATTACAATATTAAAATTCTTTGGCTTATTTAGTACTAGTTAAACGTTTGTATCCTGAACATCATCATTCATATCCCCCAGTCCCTATTTCCTATAAATCTTGGAGAGAAGAACTTTTAATTATATGATCTTGACTATTGGTCTACCAAACAAATCTTCTAAAATTAAATTTCTACAATCTATTATTTCCATAGTTACCTGAGTTTGTTTATTGTTTTGTTTTGATTACAGATGTATCATTTTTTAAATGAGATTGAGCAATGAAAGGCCCTAGGACTAAATAAAAAATGAGTAAAACAACTAAGTGAGAGAATTCAATTTATCTAGCATGAGAAGAGATATTTTCAAAATATACATCTTTATATTATCTAACAGGAATTTTTGACAGTAAGTATAGCATTTCAATTCTGGATTCAATAGTAGTTTCTGTTGAGAAATATTTCAAAGCTAAATACTATCAGGTCATAACTTGGTTAGGTCATTTTAATGTTATCAACTCGAAAAACAGGTATTCAGTAAGGATTTTTAGAGCTTTGTGATTTAGGAAATTAGTAATTCACTGAATCGGCATATATATTTTTCTAACTGATTTGAACTTATTACATTATAATTTAGGCTAAATTTTTGAATAAACTCACCAAAAAAGTAGAAGACATAAGTCCAGTCCATATAAAGGCAAATTACTCCAGAAAGAGGAAGAGAAATTACTGTTCCAAGTTGTGCTCCTAGGACAACAAAGACATCAGCTTTGGAGGGACATGAATAAAGATGGGGCAGATATATTGCTTAAAGAAGATGGTAACAAATAATGGGGAAGAGAAAGAATAATTAAATCTTATAGGAGGTGAATTAGTTACATGTAAATATAAATCATCTATTCTCTTAAAGGATCATTTATAAGAAACACTCCATTATATAAAATGTATGTATTAATATAGTTACAACTATATGATTATTAATTGATTAGAAGGCATTAATCAATATAAAACCTATTATGAGCTAATAAAATGCCACATATATTAGAAATGTTCAGTGTCTGAAGAAAGTTTCAAAGATGGTCTCCAGACAGCCCTGCAGACATAGCATACCTGATGAATAAAAATGAAGCTTTTAATAAATGAATTGACTTAAATATATACAAACAATTGTTTCAGATAAACAAAAATTAAATTCATTTTAACTATCAAACACACAACTTGTAGGCAGTAGGAGCTAAAATAATCAGACATGTCAGAAAGTATTAAGTGTTACAGATTAATTTGGAAGTTCAAATATAGGACAGATTACCTCTGACTTCCAGATCAGGAAAAGTTTTTTTTTTAAGATTTATTTATTTATGAGTACAAGAGCTGGGGTCTAGGTCAGAAGTGTGAGGGGTGTGTGTGTGTGTGTGTGTGTGTGTGTGTGTGAGAGGATTCACCAGAGACAGAGTGGGGAGCAGAATAGGCAGATGTACTGAAGTTCACTGCTGAGGGGAGCAGCAGGAGAGACAGGAGACGTCTGCTGTGCCTTGTTGGTTAACTCCCTGGCTAGCAGGGGATCTAACGAATTCATGCTCCAGTGGCTGGCAAATAGCTTAACAGTGCTGTCTTTAACCCCTGCACCACCACGGAGGTCCCCATCAGGAAAAGATGTTAAGTGGCACTACTGGACTTTAAAAAGATGGGTAAGATTTGGTCCCATAGAAATAAGCTAAGAAAAAAAATACAGAGAATGATGTAACCGCATCAGCAAAGGAATGAGAGTAGGAAAATAGACAGTTGTTCTACAAACTCCATTTGGGTAAAGGAACGGAAAAGAAGGAAAAGGCTGAAAAAACAGGTTGACTAGTGACTGAACATCTGCTTCATGCCAGGCAGCGAGTAGCAGCAGCAAGACTAGCTGAAGTGAAAACTGAACAATATGAACACCCTAGTTCAAGTTTAGGCCTTATTCAATAGGCAGAGGGCTGCCAGTTCTTAAACTTAATATCTAACTTCTTATGTTAATCTCCACATAGCTATAACGAATCATCATAAATTGGATCATATCTCTGTTTTGATTAAAAACATCTCAAATCTCCCCATTGTGTTCTCTGGTGGAAAATCTACATTCTGTCCCATAGCATGAAAGATCTGATTTGATCTGATTCTTTTCTATTTTTCTAACCTCATCTCATGCCATTTTTATGATTATTTATTAAGTTCTGGTCACCCACCTGTTTTTTCATTACTTTGAACCCTTATATTATTTTCTGCCTGAGAGCCCTAGTAAATGATGTTTTGATTGGCTGGAATGCTCTTCTTTCTGCTCTTTGCATAACTGATTTCTTCTTACCCTTTGGATTTTTGCTGAAACTCACCACAGAGAGGCCTTTTTTAAACACTATTTAAAGCAGTTAGAACAAAAAATTTTCACTCCACCAGTGGAAGAAAGACTAGAAATGCTTGTGTGATCTGCTAAAATTAGAATTCAAATGTAAAATACATGCTTTCTATCATACATGTCAATAAGAAAATGGATGGCAAAAAGATGTTTGAAGGAAGGGGCTGAAAGTCGTGGTAAGTCACCAGGCAGGCAAACTGGAAATCATGATTAAGAATAAATGTGCTCAGTTTTGCAGCGACTGGCTTTAGGAAAAAAAACAAAATTGCATTCTCTATACGAACATCTGAAGAAACAATATGTTTTGAAATCAATGTTGTCAGATGAAGAAATGAAAGGAGTCAATTAAATCAGACTGCTATATGTGGAGCCAAAGAGAAAAATTAATAATAAAGTTATAATTCCAAACTTTATTTTCCTCCAAAGAAGGCATCTGATATTGCATGTTTCTGGTTATGCAGGCCCCTATCCCTTGAGATTGATATACACATAAATTTGGCAAAAATTTTAATAAGAATAGTTATCTCACCTGCATATGAAATACTAAGAAGCTTGCTTCTTTCAAGAGGAGGAGCCCAAGAAGACCACATGGCATGCATGGCAGGAAATGTAACACCCTAAGGAGGGGGAAAAGATATTTCTGATGAAATCCAGTATAGTTTTGTTAGTGTTTTAAATTCAGCTGAGTATTTCATTGCAAGAAGAATTTCTGAGTAAGAGTCAAAGCAGGTTCTATGAAGTGAGATGCCTTTACAGTGTTAAGGAAAAATACTTTATAAGAAAGTAATTTCAAAATCTAAAGGAAAAATACTTTATAAGAAAGCAATTTCAAAATCTGAACAGAGATTTATGGGTTCTGTTTACTGGATTGAGGACTGCAAGGTAAGAGTTACAATAAATTTGAAAGAATATACTAAATGATGACAAATGGATCACCCCCATGGTTAATTTTATTAATGGCCTGAGAGAAATGAGAATGTTATCAATGTACAACTTAAAAAAACCCTAATTTAGATTACTCAAGAGAATAATAATTTAGCTTACTAATAGTGTAGATTACTAAAGAGAATTTAAATTGACTTGAGCAACAGAAAAACTGGCTATAAAAAAGATTAAAAGGATGAACTCAGTTATATTGTTCATAGTCTTTTTTCCCCTTACTGATTACTAGGCTAGTAAATGCTAATTACTGATTATGTTAGGACAGTGGACAGTGGTGGCAAGGAGGTCCACAGAGAGTTAGGAAAGGACGGGAGAAAGAGACAAGGAGAGTGAGAGGGAACTGAGTTTGGTAAATTTACAGATGTGGATTCAAAGCTCTTTTTTCACTACTATGTAGTCTCAGAAAGATTAGCTAACCTCCTTGGACTACACTTTTTTAAATCTGTAAAACAGAAATAAAACTTGCATCTTGCATGATTGTTGTAAGTGTAAGTGGTTACTAATACTGTTATTAATAAAAAGAAGCTTAATACTTTGTACTTTCTGTTGATTCTTTCCAAAAGCAAAGAAACAAAAACCAATGGAAGGCAAAAATTATTTAGGCAGCATTATAAATCCATAAGAACCAGTATTATGAAACACTTACAGAATGAGTCAATTGTAGAATGATAAGTTCAGATGCTTGGAAATGTTCACAGAGATTATGTGGGAAACTTTATTATGAAATACTAGGGACAATGTAGGATATTTATGGTGAATTAGATGCTGAGGATAAAAGATGCTGAGCTTAGATAGGTCATGTGATATACTGGAGGAATTGAGAAATATAAAAGAAACCAAACACATTTTAGATTCTATTTAGAAATAAAATGGTAACTTGGGATAGCAGTAAATATACAAGATGCTAAATTAGTGGCATAAGCAGGAAGCTAAAAAAATACGGGAATCCATTCAGCAAAGAGATTCAACATCCAGAATGGAATAAAATGTACCATAATAAGGTGTATCTTTTGTAAGTAAGGAGAAGAATCTGGTGATGGGAGAATAATTTTCATTTTGTAGTCAAAAAGGGCTCGAAAAGGACAAAATAAAAAATGTTCAGTTGAGTGATAAAATCTTAAATTTAAACAGTACTTTACAATTTCCAGACCACCCCAGCAATTATTTCACATTTTAACTATGACTGAGGATTGATCATATATTTTAGTACCAATTTCTAAAATGATGGAACTTAAGACTGTAGCCTAAGACTTACTTTAGGTTTTACTACTAGGCACAGTGGCATTAATTAAAATAAAAATCCCTATATTCTTCCAGTGTCAATGTTTGGCTCATATTCATATCAAAGAATGTTATCTTTATGGAGACAAGAAAGAGAGACTAAGAAAAAAAAAAAAAGAGAGAGAAAAATTACCTCTCCTAGTCCTTCTAGTATTCTGAGTGCAATGAGAGCTCCAAATCCGAAATCTGCAGCAATGGGAGTGAACAGAGTGAAGACAGAGGTGCTAAGGATTCCAAATCCTAGCAGCAGTTTCCCCCCTACTTTGCTGGCAAGATATCCTCCAGGGATCTGCGTGATGATGTAGCCATAAAAAAATGAGCCAAGAATCCAGCCTTGAGTTTCTGCATCCCACTGGTACCTTCTACCCTATAAAGAGTAGAAAGGAAAGAAAAAGCTTTACAACCTGCCTAACAGCTCACTTTTCTTATTGGAATGTTAAGTACATAAAAATGTCATCATGAGTCACTATTTTAGATTGAGGAACATGCAAGCTTTCTACTGGCTGAGTGAATCACTACAATATAGACACACAATTTCTGGAAATAAATGAAAAATAACTTAAAAGTCATTGACTTTAGGAAAGATTGCTATTTTATGAACCTAGATTACAGGATTAGTTGTAGAAGCTTTGTAGCAGGGACCAAGAAAGCTCAAAAAAGAGTCACAGGCTTAATGTAGAAAACTACTAACCAGTACATTGGCTCTTTGGGGTCAGACCTGGGTTCAAATCTAGCTCTGTTACTACTGGATTTGTGATCTGGTAAGAGTATGTAAAAAGGCATTTACAGAATGCCTGACACACACTAGCTGTTCATTTAATGTTGTCTTAGGACACACACAGATAATTAATATTGCTCCGTTTCAGACCAAGTACTCAAACAAGCATATAGTACACAATAAAGAGAGTCAAAATTTAAACCATGCCATAAACTTTATGTGAGTTGGAAAAGTCTTTTAATTAGTAGGAGCAGAGAGTAAGGTAATAATAAAAATTTAGGGACTGACGAGACTATCTGACATGTTCATTACATGTAGCTGTATAACTGAACCAGTGTGTCAAAAACCACTCTAGGATTTTTTTTTTCACTGTCAATGAAAGGCAAATGAAGATAAGTAGCCAGATTAACTAAAGCATTTGCCAGAGGGAGAGAAACAGCAAAACCCCAATTATCCTTTTTAGGGTACCAACATGGAGCAAACCTAGGGCTTCATAAACTATCCAAGAATACTGTCCTTGAGGCTTATAGGTCAGAGTGAGGAAACTGGAGTGGGGATTGGGGGTGGGTATGTGCCCAAATGTGTTATTCAGCACCATTACGCATGCAAAATATAAACATTTGTGAAATCATTGTTTTGTATGTGTGCTTGATAGGGCAGAAATTCTCTTCCCTGCTTGAATGTTCTTATTTTTAAGTGGCAAGGAGATTCACCCAAGTGTGATCTGGTGACACAAGCTATGCGACGGCTATCGTCTGACAGATTCCGGGTAGCTTGGGAAAAGCTCTGAAAGATCAGACTTTTCATGCTAACTTGTGTTATGACCTCCCTTTTTTGTATAATCGTAATATCAAAATATTCTGAGCAACTTTCAGCCTACAATTGGATTGCCTCAGCTGCATAAGGCCTGCCTGCCCTGACAAGCAAGCACTGCACCAGGGTGAGAAATTCCTCTGAAGTCAAAAGTGACTTAACAATTGGCTGATCAATAAAAGCAAAAGGGCTGTTTCTGCAAAGTCTCTCACTGCCAGACGGAGAAAAACCCAAATCTTATTCTACTATCTCACCTAGCCTCCTATTCAGCTTCTACAGAATTACTCAAACTTTCTACTGTCTGGCTTTAGATATGGAAATTCATCCAGGTTGCCTGTTTTAGAGCTAGTCAAGTTTTTTACCTGCTACACTTCAAAGCAATCCACAAAAGTCTTTCTGGCTAGTCTTTCAGGATTCTACTATCTAGTCTTTAGATAAGGAAATTCACCTAGGTCTCCTATTCAGAGCAAATTATGCTTTCTACTGTCTGGACCTCAAGGAAACTTACTTAAAACCTTTTAGCAAGTTTCTTCAAAGTAGGAAATTTAAAACCTTTTAGTTTCTTGATTAGCAAGAAATTTCCTCTTCCTGGGACCCCAGACCATTCTTAGAAAAAGGTGATTGTGATCTCAACCCCTTTTGTATGCTAATGCCATCCCCCTGCCTGCTGGAAATGTATAAAATAAACCTCTGCTGAAGGCAGAGCAGGAAGATTTGCACCCAACTCCGACTCCCTGTCTTCCTCACTCCCACTCCTCTCCCCCTCTTGGAATCTCTGCACTCCGACGCCTTCCCATCTTAGGGTCCTGCCTGTGTTGCCTCCAGACACCTCAAAAGTTGGAGCTGGTCTCCGACAATCTGGCTCTTACGTGAACACTGAAAATAGATTTATAAAGAGAGACACCAGCCATTTCTCCCTGCACTGTCTCTCCATGTGATGACTAAATATTTAAAGTATGTATAATTCAATTCTGAAGAAAGGATGAACACATACTTATCAATTCCATTGTAAAATGATGCAGGCAAAATGATTTATGTCTTAAATTAGGCATGTATATATTATGGAAAAGAATATTCTAAGAAATTGAGTGATTCTTATGTTTCATCTTACAGTTGAGATTACATAAGCTCTGCTACTATAGCAACCTTATTAAATAATTATTAAGCAACAGTCCCATAAAAACTGGTTAGTAACATATAAAAAAATCCAAACAGGTCTTTCCAAATTCTCTTCAGGGATGGTATGTTTATAGAAACTGAAAAAAACTACTTTCAAACAGAGCAAGGTATGTTAAAGCATAATGATAATAGCTATAGTTACAAGTTACTATTCAACAAGTTCCTAGGAAAATACAAAGGAGAATGAGTCAGAGTATACATGGAGAAAGTGTTGTGGTTTCTCCAGGACGAAAGAAGACTTTTAAATATTTATTTGGAAGTAGATCAGAGTAAAGATTGTTTGTTTAAAAAATAGCACTTACTGTCTGATTATGGAGAACTTTTACAGGAGCAGAATGTTCTGGACACTCTTCGGAAGTTCTATTGTTCATTAAAGTTGTATTTGAATCTACCATATCCACTAATGCAACACTGAGATCCACACGTAATGCATAGAGGACGAAAAAACCAAAAAAGGCCAAAATTGCTAAGTTGTAACGAGCGGAGCAGCACACTGGAGCTGGAATAAAAGTTGAGAGAAAACTTTCATTAAAAGAGAAACAGATGATATTGTTTAAATCACCAGAAAGGTTACTTCCTAGAAGTATACAGATAAATTAATAAATCCTGAATATTTCTGAGAGATTAAGCATATAAAGAACATTTCTCAAAAAGAATTTCCCCCCAGTATCTATAGTTTTGACTTTTAATGCAAAAGAGCTTAAACTCTTAAGAACAGCTTCTTAAAACATGGAGAGAAGAGCTTTATCAATTTTGCCCAAAAAAATCTCCACACTAGAGTCGTAACTGAACCACTAATCCATGTTAGCTGGCAAAGATATAAGAAATTAAATGAGGGGATTAAAAGCATTACTATTTCTGAAAAATTACCTACCACATGGCCAACGAGTGCTTGAGCACTCACTTCAGCTTAGGACGTAGGCTAATGACGTAGAAGTCACTTCATTGCAAATGCAGCAGAGCACAAAAATTTTCCTGCCAAGGCTAAGGCATAAAACCCCTCTTGATGAGTTTCTTACCTTGAGAAGTAGCCTCAGAAACTGGGTATGAATTAGAAGCCATGATTAATACTTAGGACTCGCCTAAACTAAATGTACTTAAGAATCCAAAAGCAAACTTGCAGAATCTATGACAGTTGCAGCATGTGTGACAGTTGCTCAGAAGTGATCATGCTTAAAGGGCCCACAGTAAAAAGGGAAACAAGTAACTGTACCAAATACTAAAAAAAAAAAAAAGAAGGCAAAAAAAAAAAAAAAAAAGGTGGAAGAACCAATAACAGAAGTCTCCTGTGAGAAGAGGAATTTTATCTCTTTTACCCTCTCCTTGTTCATACCTACTTTTTTCTTACACTGAATTGCACAACTGGAGGATAGGAATTCAGGAAGTTATGAATGGATCCACTCCTTAGTGACAAGGAACAACTAGTTAACGCAGGGTCTTATACCTTTAAGTTAGAAAACACTGGATGTTTGATAACTAACTGTTGAACTATATGAACATTTTTTTAACGAACATCTTTTTCATTTGGCAATTACAAGTTAAAGTTAAATACATATATGTGAATAAAGATATGCTTTTATTTAGCACAACATGTTCACATTACACGTGTTTGTGTATGCTTTGTCCTGCTCAGGAATTCTCGTATTTTTACTCACCAAACATCACATAAGAATACTTTATTTCAGAATGGAAAATACTTTTTTTCAGATGGTTTTGGTCTTGATTCACATGGAAGCAATAATGAAGAGGGCTCACCTGTATTTAGGTGTAACATGCTATACTACAACTCACTTTTCTATGACTTTCACACACTTAACAACTGTTAACACTTTTTCTTCTGCACATTATTTACATACTTTTCATTTGACATTCTTGACTTCTTTTTCAGACGTACAGCTACATCACTGCCATTAATAAGATCCATAAATCAGATCTAGACACCTAGTAACTGCATTTCTAAAGCTCTCCAATTGTGTCATCTATATTACTTGAATTTTGACACATTTATTCTCTGTTCAAATGGGAATCTGTCCTACTAAGAACAGTTTGGATAATGCAAGGCATATATTATAAGAGAGCTTATTTCTTTTTATCATTCCTTTTTGCTGCACAGAAGACTTGACGGGGACTCATAATCTTGCCAAATTAAAATGTGTAACTTTGAGTAATTTGGAGCAAGAAAAATCCATTATTTACAAAATTAATATCTACTTCAGGAAAGGATGATAAAAAGTAATTTATGGTTTAAAGAACTCACTGCTTGTGAAGAAGAATGAATAGCTGTAGCAGTTACAGACTCAGGGTGATCACTTAAGGGACTATGTGGTTTTCTAGGTAAAAGGCAAAATGGCTTAAACCAGAATAAAGCACTATCACCACGAAGGCCCACCATGACACCTAACCCCGAGGGCCAGGAAGCAAACCCAGATATGGCACAGTAGACTTTCCTGACTCACCTACTGCTCTCCTTAGTGGTGTATCTGCCTGTTCTGCTCCCCACTTTGTTTCTGGTGAACCCTCTCACTCCCCCACACCTCTGAATTACACTCTAGTTCTTCTATGCAAACAAATAAAATCTTTAAAATTTAAAGATAGATTGAACAGAATTTGCCTACATATTAGATGTGGCAGTATATGAAAGGGAGGGATGAAGCTGTTAGTAATTTTCTTACTCTATTTTATTCCACCTTCTCTCACTCTACCTATTAATTATTCCTTACTTACAGTTACTTTATTTTACTGTATATTATCAGTCCCCCTGAGCCCCATGTAATGCTTGATTTGGATTATGATTTACCTCATCATGCAAATAAAATGTGAGACTACTCATTTGGAAAGTGGAAAATAGGTAAATAAAGGTAAAATAAATAAAAATAATGCTGGGTAAAGCAGATTGCTCTCCATGATGTGGGTACACCTTATTCAATCATTGGGAGATCTGAATAGAACAAAAAAGAGGACACCCCTGAACAAGGGGAATTCACTATCTGCTTTCAGATTATGCCACTGCATCTCTTGGGTATCCAGGCTGTGGGGCCACACTGCAGATTTACATTTATTGGTCTTTGTAATCATAGAACCCAGTTTCATATAATACTTTGCTTTATACACACACACACACACACACACACACACCCTATTGATTCTCTCTTTTTTTTTCAGTGTTTATTTTCTTGAGTTATTTTTAAATTAATAATTTATTTATTTATTTATTTTTTTAAAGATTTATTTATTTATTCAGACAGAACTGGGGTACAGGCCAGAGGCTCAGGCGCGATGAGAGGCTTCACCAGAAACAGAGTGGGGAACAGAACAGGCAGATCTACGAAGTACACTGCTGAGGGGAGCAGCGGGCTGGTCAGGAGAGGTCTGCCACACCATGTGGTCACCTCCGGGGCAGGCGGGAATTGAACTCATGCAGAAGTGGCTTTAGCTTCTCAGTGCTGTGCTTCAACCCGCAGCGCCACCAGGGAGGTCCATAATAATTTATTTTTACATCATTTTGTGCCTTTTTCCATCTCAGTTGTAATCCCTATGGGTTTCTCATCACCAAATCACCCGTGTGCCATCACCATAGTCCAGAGCACTCCCCCTCCCCATTTTTGATCCCATTCCCCATCCCACCCCCATAAAATGTCTCTGTATATAGCTGTTCATTATTATTATTATTATTATTTTCTCCCCGGATCCTTTATACTCCTGCTGTGAGTGAAACCATCTGGTATTTTTCCTTTTCTTTCTGGCTTATTTCACTAAGCATGATCCCTTCCTTCTCCATCCACGTTGCTGCAAAAGGCATGTGTTTATCTTTTTTGATTGCTGAGTAATATTCCACTGTGTATATGTACATCTTTTTAATCCAGTCATCTACTTTTGGGCATTTGGGTCGATTCTATGTCTTTCCTATTGTAAATAAAGCAGCAATAAACATGGGGGTGCAGGGATCTTTTTGAATCAGTGTTTTTGTGTCTTTTGGGTAGATACCTAGGAGTGGGATTGCTGGGTCATATGGAAGCTCCATTTTTAGCAGTTTGAGAAACCTCCAAATAGTTTTCCATAGTAGTTGTATACTAGTTTGCATTCCCAGCAGCAGTGCAGGAGAGTTCCTTTTTCTCCACATCCTCACCAACATTTGTTGTTGCTAGTTGTTTTAAAATGAGCCATTCTCACTGGTGTGAGGTGGTATCTCATTGTGGTTGTAATTTGCTTCTCCCTTTTATTACAAGTGATGTTGAACATTTTTTCATATGCTTGTTGGCCATCTGCATTTCCTCTTTGGAGAAGTGTCTTTTTAGCTCTTCTGCCCATTTTTTGATGGGGTTGTTTATTTTTGTTGAGTGTCATCAGTTCTTTGTATATCTTTATGATCAACCCTTTATTGCTAGTTTTGTGTGAGAAAAATTTTCCCCAATCAGTGTGATGTCTGTTTTTTGTAATGTCTCTTTTGCTGTACTGAAGCTCTTTAAGTTGATGTAGTCCCATCTGCTTATCCTTCCTTCACTATCATTGCGTTGGGTACTGTATCTTCAAAGATGTTACTGAGGTGTATGTCATGTAGTGTTTCGCCCAGCTTTGCTTCCAGGTATTTTATGGTTTCCATTCTTGTGTCTAGGTCTTTAATCCACTTCGAGTTGGTTTTTGTGCATGGTGTGAGGTAGAGATCTAGTTTAATTTTTTTTTTGCATGTAGCTTCCCAGTTTTCCTAGTACCATTTGTTAAACAGACTTTCTTTGTTCCATTGTATCTTCTTTGCTCCTTTATAAACCTGTGGGTTTATATCTGGGTTTTCCATTTTAATCCACTGGTCTGTGTGTCTGTTCTTGTTACAGTACCATGCAGTTTTGATTATCATGGCTTTGTAGTATAGCCTGAAGTTTGGGATTGTGATGCCTCCATTCTCTTTAATCATGAGGGTTTTGGCTATTTGAGGTCTTTTGTGGTTCCATATGCATCTCATCAATATTTGTTCTATATCTTTAAAGAATGTCATTGAGACTTTTATTGGGATAGTGTTAAATCTGTATATCACTTTTGGTAGGATGGCCATTTTGATGATGTTAATTCTCCCGATCCATGAGCAAAGGATGTCTTTCCATTTCTTGGTGTCTTCTTATATTTCTTTTAACAGTGTTTTGTAGTTTTCTTTGTATAGCTCTTTTACCTCTTTTGTTAGGTTGATTACCAGGTATTTGTTTCTTTTTGTTTTAATTGAAAAGGGGATGTTTTTTTTTTTTTTAATTTCTACTTCTTCTGATTGGTTGTTTGTGTATAGGAAGGTTGAGGCACTTTTTATTAAAAAAACAAAAAAGTCAACATAAATGCCATAAAGATTATGATGGAGGTTCTAAGAGATATTAAAAATAAGTGGCTACTGGCTTTATAAAATGTTGTCTATTGCAAATCAGAGAAATCTTATTTCATATAAGTATGATGGTAGAGCAAAATGTACCTTTTAATTTGGATAACCTTTGAAATTGGTCCAACAAAAGCATACTTGCA